AACAGCAAGATCAACGGTGCGTTTGGATAGCAACAAAAATTAATAAACATTGCAACAAAGATCAAGTTGAACACGATGTAAAGATTTTCTCATACTATTTGTTCATAGGCACATCACAGCCAGAAATCACAAGGCGCATGAGAAAGTTTGAAGAGACCTTTTGGAGTGTATAGCTGTATAATGTGTGTTAAAACTATTTATACAGGTATACTTACAATATTGTTTTGGGAGAATTTAAAATACTGAATGAAATAACATTTATAAACTGTATTGGACTAACAAACTGTCATTATAAAGTATGGTATTTATTTATGTCTTCATAAGAATGCATGTTAAATAATGCATGTTTACACAATGTTTCAAAAACAAATAGCTGTTTTTGAAACAATGCTATCTCCAAAACTCTACTAACAAAAAATGTTTTTACCACTTTATTTTTTAATGTAGGTGGGGAAAACGCATATCAAAATGTCAATACCCAGCACAAATGGTGACCAAAATCAGGTTTGTCTGGTTAGGTTGCTTTGCTTTCTTTAAAAAAGAAAAAGGGGGAAAAAGGCTAAAACACAAGTAACAAATCCAAATAAATGAACCCACTTTTTTGTCTTTTTTTGAACTATCACAAAACAGCAGCGTGCAGAGAAAGAGGAAGACCCGATAAGAATGAGGAAGGTTAGCTGTTTTTTTCACTTCCATCAAAGCAAAATTATCATTTCACTCATGCACATGCAGTGTATTTAAAAAGACAATATTCTGGTTTCTTCCTGTGCTTTTGTCAGTAGATGCTTATTTGTAAATGAACAAAATTAAACAGAATTAAACAACAAAGTATTTTTAAATCAATGTAAAAATATCCTTAATTCTACTTCTCATTTCCTAATTTTTTGCAAAAATCTTCCTATGAACAGTCAAAAATTCAGGAAGTAAAAAATATTTGACTGTTTAAATACAGTAATAGAAAAGACAAATTAATGCATTTAGATTGTGAAATATGTACTAGTTTAAATACTAGTTTAAAAAATGCTTTAATGTACACTGGAGAGCCAGGAGGACAGTTCCAGTGTTCTCTGCAACTATACTCTTTAATTTCTTACTCTCTCTTGGAAATATTATATGGTGTCTTTGTGGAAGAACAGCTTGCCGAATGATGGAGCCATGATAACTGTCTTTTTAAAAAGAACCCATTACATTTTTTCATAATTCATGAGCAGGACCTTATACTTTCCTCAGATTCTCCACATAATCTTATGATTCCATACACTATACCCATTTGCAAATCATCGCTCTATGAATGTTAGTTTAACCTTTTTCGTTTTCCAATCTGCAAATACCTGCAAGAACAACCTTTTTAATTTTTGTGTGTGTGTTTTTTTTTGTTTGTTTTTCCCCCCCTTTCTTTCACTTTCACAGAAAAGATCAAAGAGACTAGATGGTGAAAACATTTATATAAGACATAGCAATTTAATGTTGGAGGTTTGTATGAATTTGAAGCTTCTTTCAGTTGCGTTTGCCTGGACCTTCTACATTCTTTGCTAAATTCTTTTTTCGCCTCTGCTGTAGCATTTGTGTTTTTTGGGTGGGGTTTGTGTGCATGCTGTTGCATGATTTCGTTAGAAATAGGCTTTTGCATGTCACAATAAACATGACATTATGCAACCATTTTTCTTACCTGTATATATTGTTTTCTTTTATCTGAAAATATGTGATTGGGATCATTCTTCACTTAAATGTGTTTCTAAAACATAGCAACTCATTACATGGTTATCTGTGGATAACAGTCTCCAAGCATGCAATGATGTGATTGACACAAAGAAATAAGCAAGGTTTTCTGAGATGTATTTTGTGATGCCATTCTGTAAACTATAATCCCAAAATAGTTATATAATTGAGTCCACTCAGAGCAGCAGACTTGTGCCCTGATCTTCAGTTTTAATTTCAGAGCCTTTTCTCTTAAACTCTATAGGTGGTCCTTGCTTAATGACCACTCGTTCAACAACCGTTCAAACATGACAGTGCTTGAACAAGTGGCACTTATGACTGGTCCTCGTACTTATGATGGTTGCAGCATCCCCATGGTCATGTGATCACAATTTGGGTGCTTGGCACCCAGCTTGCGATTACTACATTGGAGCGTCCCACAGTCACGCGATCGCCATTTGCAACCTTCTTTGCCAGCTTTCTATATGCAAAGTCAATGGGGAAGCTGGCAGGAGATCGGAAATGGTGACCACATGACGTCATGCTTAATAGTGGTGCAGGATTCACTTAACGATGGCAACTGGAAGTGCCAGAATTTCCGTTGTTAAGCAGAATGGTCACATGATGTTGCATTTTACTACCATGTTCCTTAGCAATGGAAATTCTGGTTCCAATTACCGTCGTTAAGTAAGGACTACCTGTACTGAATTTTTTTGTACTAAACACCACCTAAAAGTTATGAATAGTAAAAAGATTTTTTTTAAAAAAAACTTTTCAGAATTAACTGGGCAATTATCCCCCAATATAAGCTGAATCATCTCAGATAATTTTATCTTGCAAAATTACATTTAACATTCAACTAAACACAGTTCCCTTGTGTTTTTCTTGTTTAGCGACTACAATTGGGACTGGTAACTGTCGTTAAGTAAAGCGATCACAAAATGAAACCGCACCTGTGCTTATGATCTTCCTTCAGCTTTCCTTTGCTTTTCAGACCTGTGAAGGTAGTAAATGCGAGGACTGGTCGTAAAGTTACTTTTTCATCACCATCCTAACTTTGAACAGTTGCTAAACGAGAACTACCTGTAGTTCAGTATCGTTTATTGGTTATTTCTTGGATATTTTTTGCTGGAAACAGTGAGCTCAGCTGCTCAGTATTTTTGTCACATCCTACATATGTGTATCATGTTATCTCTACGTCTGCCATTGCTGTTGACATCAGAGAAAGCTAGAATGGCTATACATCTCCATAGAATGAGAAGGGGAAAACCAAGCTTGGCCATACTTAAAAAGTCATGTAGTTATTTCTTCCTTCTCAAATGTGACCATTTTCTCAACAACATTTAAACAATAATTTGTGCCTTTAAATTTCCCAAGAAGTTTGAAAAGAGGAAGTAGAATGTCATCACTTCATTTCTGATGTGAGAGGTCATTCACTATATTCAGACTTAATTGACTTGCAATTTCTTGCAATTCTAAGTGATAATTTTCAATTTCTTTGGTTACATATATTGAGATTGGCTGCCTTCACTGCATTTTTGTCTCCCATGAACATGATCTTGAATATACCGAACATTCCAATCATATATTACTGATACGGGAGAATGTGTGGCTTCTTATACTGATTCTGTTTTTGTGTGTTATATATTTTAATCACGATTACAGAAATAGCAGCTAATAGGAGTTTCTTGTGCAGTGTCAGGATTTTTTAATGCACTAACTATTTTTTGAATTTTTAATTTCGTGCTTTACAGCTTTGAGTTTGCTACAAAATGCAGAGCTTGGGGCAACATTAAAATGATGTGTAATCCAGTCAACGTGAGATGATCTGGCAAGAGGCAGTGAATATTTCATCTATGATATTTTAATTCCTCTATAAGTCAGCTTTTTAGTTTACTTTTTTATCTACTCTCAGTAGATTTTTTTTTAACCCAATGCGTTTACTTCTTTTTTATAATACTTTTATCTCCCTGTTACCATATCAGGTTCTGGAATAAATATGTAGCCCAATGCCAATTTCTCATTCTTTTTCATATGTTTGATTTGACCCTTAACTGTTTGGTTGCAGGTGTTTACAGGCTATCATCAATAACGGCAAGACTAATCAGATAGTTTGAAATAATTGCCTGTTATTCCTTTTTCTTTGCTTGTTTTTTAATTCTGTTCATGAAACATTAGGATGGTTCCCATTTAATTCTGCTAAGCAGAGAAATTTTGATCCAAAGAAGCCCCTCATCATAAAGTTTACTTAATCCAAACAATAAGATGAACACAAAAGAAATTAAAAGTGCACTAGCAACAATTAAACTGTGGTATATCTTTCAATCATTTAAAAGTTGTGATATTCATCTAATATGTAAGTTGCCACACTACCTTTCAAAACAGTGGTATAGTTGATAGCAATCTACTTTTTATCAGACAACCTTTTCATTTGTTAACCTTACAGTAAAGGCAGGATGGCTTTTTTTTAATGTATTTTTGGAAGGTCTCAGGTTTTACCAAATAGTCTGTTTGAACTCAGACAACTTTTTTTGACCATATATAATAAAATAAAATAAAATACTTATATTAAAATATAAAATGTATATGGCTCATATCCAACAAAATATACAAAATTAGCTGAGTTACTACTCTTAAAAACTTTAAATATAAACAGTATAAAAATGTGTTATAGCCTTTCTTTGGACTGGGCTACATAAGTATTCTTATACTGAGCCTTGAGTTTGATTTTGAAATACATAAGACCGGGAATGTCCCAGAATTTGCAAAGAGGTAAAATCCAGGGATTTTCCTAAGGCTAAAAATGTGTGGAATTCAATTTTGTTCTCCCAAGCAGGGATTTTTATAGAGTAAGTCATGGCCACTTACTCTATGAAAATTCCTTGTTTGGGAGAACAAAGAACAAATTCAAAAGCAGAAAGCACATGTAGTTACTATACAGTGCAAGGCCCCAGACTCAGTATGTGTCCTCTGAAGAAACATTTCTCTACTTGAGGAGTGGCAGCATCAGGATGGAAAGGCTTCCTTGAGCTACGCTAGGCCTGTATGGCTCTTGTCTTTTACATTGCCATTGACCATCCAATCCTTGTAATAAGGTTGCTGACTGAACATTTCATGATTAAATATACTTTCCCAGAGATGCAGATAGGTATGAACAGACATTGACAAACCTTACCTGTAGATAGAGGAGCATGTGAGGGGTAAGCTTCTGAGATGTGGGTACTAATGAGAAATATTAACCCTAAAATCTGAGTTCTGAAATGGTACCATCCAAATAGGATTATTTCCTGTATTTTATTAAAGGTAAATCAAGTCACTAATCAAGTTATATTATCCTGGATAATAGTAACCAATATTTTTTTGGCTTTTGTTCCTTTTTTGCCCACCAAAATGTTTTTCCCCACTAGTGAATTTCACATACTGGTCAATTATGTCTGGTTAATTTGGCAGTCTCGTGCTTTTTTTTTCCCCTGCCAAAGGGATTAGGGATAGGGATATTGATTGATAGTTGACTGTTACCTCTGTGAATTTTGGTACCAACACCATAATCACAAGGATATCACACCAATCGATTAAGTCTGCAGTTGGTAAAAGCTTTTTGGACATAAGATTAACACTAGTGGCGGGCAAAAAAGGTACAAGAGCCAAATTGAGTTCAGTTTCACTAGTGAGATTTTTTTCAGTGACAGGCAAAATTAGTCTTTTGGCTTGTGTGTTTGTGTGTGAATTTTAAACCACTTTGGTATTTTGTAAAAAGATTATAAAACTGCTTTGTTTTATAATCATACAGTATAGAAATAAATAGATACTGGAAGAGGCTGTTACAGGAGAGTCATAAATATGTCTACTCAGAAATAAGCATTGTTGAGCTTAATAAAGTTTACCACTTGTGAATATAGGATTGAAGCTTTAAAGAGGCTAATAAAGTTCTACAAGTTTCAGATTTGATTTCCAAAAAGGTGCTTTGGAATGTGGAGGCATAAACATAGCACCCTTTTCCAACTGCTGAAAATATATTTTCCTGAGATTGTGCAGCAACTATGGAGGATAGCCATACTATCCCAGGAAAAGAAGCACCTCCTTTAAGAATCTGCATGTTGATGCTACTTGCTATATTCCTGCATGTTCTGAAGCATTTTCCTGGAATCAAATCCAAAGTACTAAACAGACATAGACTGTAATAGTATTTGCTGAATGTTGGGAATTTATAATAGTTAATTCTTCCAGAGTTTAGGAAATTGGAAAAGATTGCCACTCCTGAAATAATAATAGGGAGTTTATTTTGTTAGCCTAGTTGAAAGATGTTTTTAATTGAAACTAATGTTGAGCTTTATTTGGGATATCCTGCACTAACTAGTACATTTTATCTCTCTGAGGGGAAAAAGAATTGATGTGACTAATTTGCTGTGGCAAATTTAGTATCAAGGGGAGCTGTAAATTCACTTCAGTAAAACTTTCTGTGGTTTGTGTTGGATTTTTTTCTTAAATGATAGGATCTAGATAAAACTCAAGAAGAAATAAAGAAACATCATGCTAACATCAGTGAACTGAAGAAAAACTTCATGGAATCTGTTCCTGAGCCACGGCCAAGTGAATGGGACAAGCGCCTCTCTACTCATTCTCCTTTCAGAACACTTAACATCAATGGACAGATTCCCACAGGAGGAGAAGGAGTGAGTACTTTATATAGTACTGATCATTTATTTGGCTTTGATCTTCTAAATAAGACCATCTTTTAATTCTCTAGGAAATGAAATTCCCTTTTGGGGAAAAAGGCATAAACAAAAGGTTAAGCAAAGTTACTTAAGGGTTTCATTATTCACTTTCTGTATGCTGAATGAGCTATTAACTTTTTAAAGCCAATTTTCTATCAGGTTACTGTGGAAGTTGGGGTTGGAAAGTCTTAGCATAAAATATTTTAAGGACACACAGACACGGATAGACAGATATTTTAACCCAGCCAGCTTCCATGCCTAAGTGGGAACTAGATCCTGGGTCTTCCTTCTCCTAGTCCAGCACCTTAACCACTACACCTCAGGTGGGTAGTGGGTGATACTGAGTCAGTAACTTCCTATCCCTAAACTGGGAAGTTGAAAAATATCTATCTGCCAACCCATACTGGGCTAGCTTATGCTCTGTATTCTTCAGTAAAGAGGCCTTTATCCTGCCAGGATTGATTTGGTCTGATAATTATTTATTTTTGAAATTTATAGGCTTCCTCAATTTGTTATGACTCTGGGTGGCTTACAAAATACAACAATAAAATACCATAAAATACAAAAATCAAACTTCTGAGAAAAACAATCATTAAAAAAAACTAAAGCGTCATAAAATCATCACCTACACTAACCCAAGTCATGGGGATTGAGCCAGATCTTAGGGCTTGTTGAAATAGAGTCGGGGTAAGAGTCTTATGAATCTCAGGGGAATGGTGTCCCAGGGGCAGACACCACACGACAGAGAAGCACCTCCCCATATATTATTATTATTATTATTATTATTATTATTATTATTATTATTAT